GACTTCAAGCTAGAGCTGTGTCAACTCGTCAACGGACACGCGGGCTTTCGTGGTCAGTCTTCACATTGTTGGGGACGAAATTATTCTCGACAGTGGCGCCTCGGTGTCTATGTTGAACAAAAGGTCTTTCTTCCAGACCATCAATCTTCATCCTGTTTCGCTTACCTTGGCGGATGGGCAAAAAATCATGGCCGATGGTTATGGGGATGCAATTCTCCTGACGTCTTATGGCGCCATTACTCTGAAGAATTCCATTTTCGCATTGAAGTTAACGTCTTCTTTGGTTTCGATGTCAGACCTCCTTTCAAAAGGGTTTTCCGTGAAGCCTGGCGAAGGAGAAGATTACTCAGTGGTGGATAGGGCATCTAATCTGGTTTTCAACGGTTCTTATCGTACGGGTGTGTTGACGATTCCGACAATTGATCCTGTGGTGAATCAAGTCGTCTCTGCTTCGACTCTGTTGCACAACAGAATGGGGCATCCAAACGATGCCTATCTGAAAAGGTGTTTCCCGGAAGAGGGTATCGACTCGGTTGACTGTGACGCGTGTCTTGTTTCGAAAATGACTCGACAACCTTTTAAAGGGAAATTTCCTGAACCGTCTGCGCTTCTGGAATGTGTTCATATGGATCTTTGTGGACCTATAACTCCACCATCGATTTCAAAAAATCTCTACTTTCTCATCGTTTTGGACGGCAAATCGCGCTTCCGCTTTGTTCGCTTCATGCAATTCAAGAGTGAGGTCTTCAAGAACGTTAAAGAAGTCTTTGCTATTATGGAGAACACTTCGGGATTGAAAATCAAGAATGTTGTTTCCGACAACGGCGGGGAATTTGTCAACAAGTCTTTTGATGAGTACTTTGCTGAAAAGGGAATCGTTCCTTTGCGTACTTCTCCTTATACTCCGGAGCAAAACCCTTTCGCTGAGCGATCCAACAGGTCGGTTGTTGAGAAGGCGAGATGTCTTCTGAAGATATCTAACTTGAATCTCGCGTGGTGGGCGGAGGCTGTAAACACGGCTGTTTATCTTCTTAATCGTACTCCGTGCGTCTCTGTTGGTTCCGACTGTCCTTATTCGCTTTGGTTTGGAAACGCTCCGAGGTTGGATCATTTGAGGATATTCGGTTGTAAGGTGGTATTTCATCTGGAAAAGAAGTGGAGGAAGTCAAAGTTCAATTCTTCGGGTTCGGAGGGGGTGATGCTTGGTTATGTTGAGGGCCATAAGTCTTATCGGGTGTGGTCAGTTGCGACGAATAAAATCGTCTTTACTCACAATCTGCGTTTTGTGGAAGATGTTTTCCCCACTCTGACTTCAACTTCTAATTCAATTGTCGACGATAGTTTCGACTTGCCTTCATCGGACGCTTTTCTTCCTACGGTTGTGGAAGATATCCCCAGGGATAGTGCCTCACAATCTGAGGTTTTCCATGATCCCGGTATGCATGAAGAGTTACGCAATCCTGGTACTG